CCCCAAAACCCCAAAACCCCTGTAAAAAAATCTGAGACAATTTTAATGATATAGTGCAAGTGTTATAATAATTAATTCAAAATTTAAAATAGCAAACTAACTTTTAACAAACATTTATTCATTTCATAAATATGAGTACCTAAAAATACCTAGATCGACACTTGCTGGCAGACCAGACTCCGATCTAGTCAAATAACTAAGTTCTGTCAAGCGCCAATCACAACCACCTAGGAGCAAATCAAATGGGATTCACCCCTTCAGTGCATAAAATGACTAACAACAATAACGGCGGTGGCTCTTAGCCTGATGTAGTAGGCGAGGATCAACTCATGGGGTAGATGCGCAGACTTATGCGTATGAACATCAAGAATTTCTGTTACCAAGATGCTATTTTCTATGCTGACAAGATCCTTCACTTGAACCAGCCAGGAACTGAGAAATTCATAAAGGCCGTTTATGATCTAGGTAAGTTTTGAGTTATTATTACTGCAATATGAATATCTGAGTGACTTGTATCACTTTTGATGGAAACGCAAATATTCTTACTAATATATAACTATAGCTCATTGCTATTTCTTGAATCAGGAGTATTTGAGATGCGTGTAGTTGATAGAGAAGTTTGACTTGGCTTTTCACAACGAGAAATTCAGGATTCTTACTGCTCAAGCTTTGTTTAACTCGCAGAATATTAATGCTTGCATTAACAAAGTGCAGTACTAAATTCTAGGCTTGCAAATACAGCAATCAAACTAGATGATTAATGTGCTTTAGAAAGACTTAGTACAGGAAAACGAGATGCTCTAAGGCGGAGGCAACATTAGCCATATTAGTTACAGTGAAGCTAAAAATCAGGATAAGGAAGAGAAACACTCCAAATCTAGCAAGAAAGGTCTCACTCCTTAGTAAAAAGAAGATTACTACAAAAGTTTAAGGTTTTTGCTTCTAGCAAAGTCTTATGAATCACTTGAGAACAAGATCCAAGCTTGTTCATTCTATTAGGAGGCTCTGAAGTATAATCCAGAAAACTTCGAAGCATTCAATAGACTTATCTCAAACTACCTCTTGACTAAGGAGGAAAAGAGAGCTCTGATTGATGAGTTAAGATTTAGCCCAGAGAATTTATGGCTCAAAGACTACTACTATTCAAGAATTGATTAGAGTTTGAGATCTCCTGATAAGGTTGAAGGATATATGGCAGTCAAGTCCTAGCTTAATAATGTTTCACTTCAGAATAATATTGGGGATGAGAGTGGACTAAGTCCATCTAGATTCCCACCTACTGAGTATCTAGACAATGAGGATCCTAATGACACTCTCAGAAACCCTAAAATTGGAGCAAATGCCTTCTCACCACCTTTGAATTAGCATCAACTAGCCTAGAACATGCATCATAATATGAATTAGCAAGCCTTAGTCTAGGAAGTGTCAGTAGTTGAAGTTCTTAATCACAGTGAAAGTTTTGACTTTAAGTAAATTGAAGCTGAAAAATTGTTTAATGAGCAAAATTACATCAAGGCTTATGAGATTGTGAAGAATGTTGTTGATTCTGATTTTTACTATGTGAGTATTGTCCCTCTCTACTGCTCAATTTTGATTGAGTTGAATAAGGTTGGAGAACTTTACTACCTTGCTCACAAACTTGTATCAGCTAATCCTGATCTTGCTGTTTCTTGGTTTGCAGTGGTAAGCATTTATATGGAATAATATGATTTTTTAGGGATCGTACTACTTCTTGATAAAGAAGTATGATTTGGCTAGAAAGTATTTCAACAAGGCTAACAGGCAAGATAAGCACTTCGCTGCCTCGTGGATTGCATTTGGCCACTCATTTGCTGCTCAAGATGAATCAGATCAAGCTATGGCTGCTTATAGAACAGCAGCTAGACTCTTCCCAGGATGCCACTTGGCCTCTCTATTTATTGGTATGGAATATCTCAGAACCAATAACCTCAAGACTGCACTGCTATCTTTCTAAGAAGCCTAAAGAATCTGCTACAACTCTGATCCTTTGGTGTTTAATGAGATGGGTGTGGTTTACTACAGACAAAAAGACTATGAGAAGGCTAATAACTGTTTTGCTAGTTCATTAAGTCTTTGCAATGAGAGCAATTCAAAGACTTATGAGACTATTCTCATTAATCTTGGTCATTGCCACAGAAAGATTAAGTAAGTTAAGCAATATATTAATAAATTTCCATAGAGACTATGATGCTGCTATCCAGTTGTATGAAAAGTGTCTATCCCTAAACCCAAAGAATCCATCTACATACACTGCTCTTGGATTCGCCTATCACTTAAAGGGTGATTTCAAGCAAGCTCTTAATTGCTACCACAAAGCAAGTTTCCTTAAGAACGAAGACCCATTAACTGAGGAGTTAGTACAAAGAGCTCTTGAAGATATTAACTCTTGCACGATAGAACAAGCCTATCTCAGCGATGATCAAGCTATCAGATGAATTAACTCCAACATAGACAAAATTATACCTCTTGTGAATTAGAATTAATGAATTTACGCATTTATCAGCATTTTATCAGAGTGGGGTTTTGGGGTTTTGGGGAGATCGGAAGAGCACACGTCTG